TATTGATATTAGTAAAACTCAATGTGTGGCTTTTGCACTTTTTAAAGTACACTTTTACACATAAATACCCTGATTTAGGGTTTCATTTAGTTATAAAAAAAAAAAAAATCTAATTGAATTTTTATCCGATTAATCGATTAATTGAAAAAAATAATCGTCCGATTCATCGATTATCAAAATAATCGTTAGTTGCAGCCCTAGTTCCTTCACTGTCGCCTTGGCTTTTGGCTTGCTTAGTTGGGGACATTTAATTATTCAACTATATTATTGACCTCTGACCCAACGTAGGACATGTGACGTTGCGTAAGATTGTGTGAGAATAGACGGCTCTCGCGAAAACCACGTAACTCTCGTGAACGCGCCAGTGATTATAGTTTATAACGTTTTAAATATTTCTATTTTTCTTATAAAAACCCATGGCTTCACTTCAGAAGGCATTCATTAACCCACTGGAGTCGTATGGATTACTTTTATGATGGATGGGTGAATTATTCCTTTAATCTAAATGTCGTTTTGTCGGGATGTTGGCTAACAGTAAATCGCTGCAAAGGGATTTCAGACTTCTTTTCACCGCCAAGTGAATAACAAAAAAGCACTTTGTGGAGAGTAAATGTGGGCCTTTACGAGCTTCACTCGCTCGTGTTGCCAGATCTTGTTAGAAAAAACAGACCAAAAGATCTCGACCTGCACCGGTCCATCAGTGCACATGGCCACAGCTCAAGAGTCTGGGGTCGCTGTAATATTACTTTGGCAATATTAATATTAGCGCTGCACAATTAATCACAATTAAAATGAAATCGCACTTAAACCGATTTGGCTTCTCTCGATTATGAAATGGCGAATGCTGTGATTGTCAGTTATGTGCAGCGTGTCAGTGAAGCACGGCTCAGGAAACGCGGCTCGCTCTGAAAGCACTGCGAGTTCCAGTCGCTTATAACGTGCGTTTGAAAAAGCAACAACATCTTTCCAGACATGAGACGCATTTATGAACCTCTCGTCCAACAAAAGACAACATTTATTAAATCAAAGCGTTTCAATCTTCTGTTTATTCAGCTACAGATGGTATGATGCCCATAGGGATATCCTGGAATAGTGTGTGTGTTGTACTTCTGCGCGGGGCATATTTGGCGTGTGTGTGTCAAAGCAGAGGAGTTTCCTATGAAGCCTAATGAGTGTGTCCTGATGTTCCCTCTCTCTGCAGTGTGTGCAGTGGGTCGATGATGCTAAACTCAATCAGTTGAGGCGAGAGGGAATCCGCTACGCTCGTATCCAGCTCTACGATAACGACATCTACTTTATCCCTCGCAACGTGGTTCACCAGTTCAAGAGTGTGTCGGCCGTGTGCAGCCTGGCCTGGCATGTGCGCCTGAGCCAGTATCACCAGGAGCCGGAGGAAGAGGAGGCTCACGAGGAGGAGGAGGAGCTGAAGCAGCTCATCAAGCCGGAGCCGAGTGACGAGAGCATCAGTGCTGCGGACACGACCCCCGACTGCAGACCCGCGCGAGACTCGCCGTGTGTGACGCCCATGAAGATGGAGAGGGCGGAGCTACAGGCTGAGAGGCCCAAAGCCCTTCCCAGAAGCCCCAGCTTGACTCCGCCTCTCGTCTCCTCTGACGGGCGACCCAAAGTGCTCAACGTGTCCGAATGTCCCAGCGCTCCCTCACACACGTCACGCAACTCCACGGCCAGTGCGCACACCACCCCAAACCACACCACACACGCCGGCACCACCCAAACACACACACACGCCGGCACCACCCAAACACACACACGCCGGCACCACCAAACACACCCCCCTCGGCACCAACCAAACACACACCCCCCTCGGCACCACCCAAACACACACCCCCCTCGGCGCCAACCAAACACACACACACGCCAGCAGCAACCAAACACACACCCCCCTCGGCATCCAGATATTTCCATTCTTCCTCTGTCCCCAAACCGGGACACACACCCTCAACACCTACTAACCCAGCCATTCTGCCAACACAACCAAACACACACAAACTACCAACACAACCAAACCAACACAAACTACCAACACAACCAAACACCCACAAAGTACTAACACAACCAAACACACACAAAGTACTAACACAACCAAACACACACAAAGTACCAACACAACCAAACACACACAAACTAGTAACACAACCAAACCAACACAAACTAGTAACACAATCAAACCCACACACTCTGCGAACACAGCCAAACACACACACTCCACACTAATAA